AGAAAGTATCTGAGAATAAATATTTAGCATAGTATTTCTTAGGTAGTCTCATTTTACCATTACAGTTGTCATTATATTTATTTCACTATCCTTAGCATTTAGTGATGTGATCTGTGTTTTAATAAGATCAGCTATAACAGAATAAATGCACCTGCATTTTAATGCAAATAAAAGCTTTATCAATAAAATCAATACAAACCTTATGAAACTCACCAGTGCTCACTTAAGTTGTGTGCTTTGTTTTGGTTTGTTTTCTTGAGACGGTCTCAGCCTGGTAATGTAGCCCTAGCTGACCTGTCAACTCCAAGGCAATCCTTCTGACTCCACCTCCTGAGTGCTGAGATTACAGATAAGTGCCACCATGTCAGGCTTCGATTGCCTCGATTGAGACATTCAAATCCACAAATACAGGTATTGCCTGTTTATGACTGTTTATCGTGGAGTGACTTAATTGGAGTTGTCATAGTTTAGAAGCTCAGGGTGAATAATGTGAGGGAAAAAATGCTATAATGCCAAAGAAGCTTAGGGAAGTGTTTTCAGCTGTATTCTGGTCTTAAAAAAAAAATTCTTGGGGCTGGAGAGATGGCTCAGCGGTTAAGAGCACTGACTGACTGCTCTTGCAGAGGACCCAGGTTCAATTCCTAGCACCCACATGGCAGCTATGAACTGTCCTTAACTCCAGTTACAGGGGAATCTGAAGCCCTCTTCTGACCTCTGTGGCATTGCACGACATGGATGCACTCACATACATGCAGGCAATACACTCATACACATAAAAAAAATAAAATATTAAAAAAGGTTCTTTGAGATTTCATACAATGTATTTTGATCATATTCACCCCCTTCTCCACCTCCTCTCAGATTTCCCCTTTCTTTACCCACTCAACTTTGTGTCCTCATTTTTTAAATGTTTGTAACTTAAAATATTTTTATTGATTCTTTGAGAATTTTACAATGTATTTTGATCATATTCAGTCACCTTCCCCTATCCCCCCCAGCTTCAAGACCTCTATTATTATTTTTCTTTTTTTAAAGGCCTCTGGAGTCTAATTTGGGTTTCCCAAATGCTCTTGGGTGTTGGTCTGCCTTTGGAGTCTGGTCCACCTACCAGGTGTCAAACCCTTGAAGAAAGCTGAGTGTTTGCTCTCTTAGCAGTTCCTTAGCTAGGGCTAGGGGTTCTTGCCCAGTTTTCCCTTCCATGCTGGCATTTTTGTTTGGCTTGGGCCTGCACAGGTCTTAAGAATGCTGTCAACAACTGCTGTGGATTCAAATGTGCAAATATGTGGGGTGTCCAGACAGCATTGTTTCCTTGTGTTCATATACCACCTGTGGAACTTTTCATGATGATTGATAGTTACTGAGAACAATATACTAGGTTGCAATCAGCATTTTAAAGAAATAGAAGAGGATAAAGACTATATATTGTATATTGATAATATAACTATATCTATCTCTATATCTCTCTATATAAAGAATAGTATTATATTAAAAAGGAATAGTATTATATTGTGGACCTTTTGGTTATTGTGTATATAGGACTGGATTCTCCAAAAGAGCAGCCAGTGCTCTTACCAGCTGAGCCATCTCTCCAGCCCCATCCCTAGCCTTCTCTTTAAACCTCTTTCCTGCCCCCTCACGGGCCCCTTTCTAGCTTTTATTTTGTTTTGTTTTGAGATGGGGTTTCCCCCAGTAGCCCAGGTTGACTGTGTAGCCATCCTCTGAGGGCAGCCCTCTTGTCTCAGCCCTGGAGTACTGTGACAGGTAGAGCCACCATACCTGCCATATATTTAAGGTTTAAAATTATTTTAGCATTCGTATCTTTAATGTCTGTAATACTTAAAAAATTCCAAAATTATACTTAATTACAGTAAAACAGGATGTCTGCAAAATACCCCTTTGGAAATAAAATTTCACTTGGTAAAATTACAGAAAATACTAGCTCTCTGATTTTGTTTTATACCCAGAATCTAGGCTCCTCTGTGACAGTGTAGCAGGGATAACCAGTAAGAGGTGAGAAATTGTGCAGTGTTGTGAATTTTGCAATGTCTTTGGTAATCTGCACTGATCTTACTTTATTTTGTCTCTTCACTTTTTATGTGAATTAAGAAAATTCTAATCTTACGTATTATATGTTGGAAAAAATAACAGCTACATTAATTCTTTTTCTGTTTATTTTTTACTTAGATAATGAAACTGCTGTTTACACATTAATGCCAGTGGTTATGGCTGATCAGCACAGGTGAGCGCTTGTTTCATAAGTTCGTGCTTTTTTTCTGGGTATAGGCTCTCATTCTGTAGCCCCGGTTTTGGCCTAGAACTGGCCATGTAGACCAGGCTGGCCTTGATCTCACAGTGCTCTTGTAAAGACATACAGAGTTATCTGGTTGTTGAAGGAATTTTATCCTTGTGGCAGTCACCTTATTTTAGTAATTGTGTACTTTGGCATGAAGGGAAGCAAGGAGAAACTATATAAAGAGAAAAAAGTGAAGAGAAACTAATGAAACAAGTTTGAAATGTTATTTTTATTTTTTTGAAATTTTTTATGTGTATGAGTATTTTGCCTGTATATGTATGTGTACTGCATACCATGCCTAGGGACCATGGAAGCTAGAAGAGGGTGTCAGATCCCCTGGAACTGGAGTTACAGATCATTGTTAGCAGCCATGTGGGTGCTGGGAACTGAACTCAGGTTCTCTGCAGGAGCAGCCAGCAGTATGATGAAAAAATGTTTTTGTCTTTATTTGGCTCATTTTTGACAAGGGAAGAAGCCAAGAACGCTCCCTTTGTTTCTCAAGAATCTTAAGAGAGCTGAAAGCAGCTTACTCTTGGATGTCCTCAGACCAGGTAAGATAGCACTGTCTGAGTGGGAGAGCAGCACACCTCCAGCGTGAGATTATTGGTCAATGGAATTAGGCTTCTTCTTTCCTTTCCTTTGTTTTTGAGAGAAGATCTCACTGTGTGGCCTAGTATGGCCTTAGACTTGAGGCCTTCCCACCTCAGCTTCCCACTGTTGGGATTACAGGTTTGTGTCAGCATGTTTGGTTGTCTGATTTGGGATGTTACTTTGGTGACTGCTGTGCTATAGTAAGAGAACAGAGCCTTGCGTTTTTGGTAAATGAGAAGAAACTGTTTGAATTAGCAAGAATTACTAAAAAACTGTTAATTTGGGTTAGTTGTCTTTAAAAACTTGTTTTTATGTATCAATTCCTCTTATTTTCTGGTGGGGGTGTCATAGGTCTGTTTCTGAACTACTATCAAATTCAAAATTTGATGTCAGTTATGCATTTGAACGGGTGAAGAGAAGCTTACTTCACATTGCAGCAAAGTAAGACTAAAAAAGATATTTTGCATTAAACTCTGGTCTAGAGAAAGTATCAGAAGTTTTGAATTAGTGTTAGTGAGCAAAGATAATAACTGGCAGCCAAGTGGCTCTTTATCCTGTTTAGCCACAGTGTGCTGTGTAGTCTTTTGACATAAATTTTTTGCTTTGATATTGAGCTCAAGTCTCCTGTTCCTGTTGTCCATCCTACCTTGTTTTAGGTTTGGCATAGGGATTGTCTAGATGTGTGTAGAATGTGTTTTCACCAGAATTTCCTGTATCTCACCACTATAAGGGATAAAAAGGACATGTTAACTACAGGTGAAGTCAAGAGCTCCATGGTTCCCCCTAGGTGGGAGTAATATTATTATTTTTATTATACACCCATGTCGTGCAATGCCGTGGAGGTCGGAAGAGGGCTTCGGATTCCCCTGGAACTGGAGTTAAGGACGGTTCATAGCTGCCATGTGGATGCTAGGAATCGAACCCGGGTCCTCTGCAAGAGCAGTCAGTGCTCTTAACTGCTGATCCATCTCTCCAGCCCCGGGCGTATTATTTTTATTAACAGTCTTCTACTATTTATCAATCTTCTACTATGTATCAATGGCTGATTGATACCTGTCTTTTTGGTATTTAGCTAGGTGTGTTGAAATTAATTGTTCATGATTAACTAGCTTCTAGAAAACCAAAAAGCATTATATAGTTTCAGAAATTAATTTTTTATTTTGATTTTTTTGAGCTTGCTTTCATAGTACAGTGCAAGATCTTGAAGATAGAGGATAATTTTTTGTGTGATACGGGTTAAATCAATTTGTAGGTAAATTAGGACCTTTGGTAGGTTTTGTTTTTAAATTTTGTCTAGTATGACTGCTGTATGTATCTGAGCTGTCTTTTAATACTGTTTTAGCTGTGGATCAGTGGAATGCTTGGTTCTGCTGTTAAAGAAAGGAGCAAATCCTGACTATCAAGATATTTCAGGCTGTACACCTCTTCATTTGGCTGCTAGAAATGGGTAAATTTTAATTTTCTTAATGAATGTATTGTGATTCCTAACAGTAAACAGTAGTTAATCATTCCTTGATTCTTTTTTCTTCTCAGCATTTGTCTTGAGAAAAATTACAAAAGTGATAGCAGATTTGATTTTTTATAATTATTTTTGGTTTCAAAGTCTCTGTTTTTTCTTTAAAGTAAATCTTGGATTATTTTATTAAATTTTCAAATGACTCATTTAATAATTTATGAAATTTTCAGTAATGTTTTTCTTCAAAATGAAGATTTATTATTTCTTTGATATAATGACATTTTACCTTATGTTTTTGTTATCTTTTTCCCTGATAATCTTTTTCCACTTTTACCTCCTTGGCTTATTTCTAAAATTGCTTGGTTAGAAATTTTATTAGTGTACCTAAAGACAGTGACTATATTATTCCCAGTTTATAGTTTTTTGAGACTGAATTGTATTAGAGTAAGCTTTCTAGCTAAGGGTAGCTTCCAATACTAACTTATTTTTCATTTATTTGTTTATTTCCAGTGCTTGAGATTTAGTTCAAGGCCTTGTTCATGATAGGCAAAAGTTTGACCTTGAGCCATACCCACAGACCTATTTCTTATTTAACTGGTGCCTTAGTTTCTTTTCCTGTTGCTATGATAAAAGACTTTGACAAAAACAACTAAGGGAAAAAGGATTTATTTTGGCTCACAATTCATCTTAGTGAAGTCAGGCAGCAGGAGCTTGAAGCAGCTTCTCATAGTTCCTCTGCAGTCAGGAAGCAGAGAGTATTGATTGCACGCTGCTGCTCAGCTTGCTTTTTCCATTTACATAGTCCAGGATCTCAGTCTAGGAATGGTGTCACCCACAGTGTGCTGGCCTTCTTACTGTAGTTAATGAAATCAAGATAATCTTCCACTGGCATGTCCAGAAACCTGTTTCCCATGTGATTCTAGATCTCATAGGGCCGACAATTGAGATAAACCATTAAAAGGGAGAAAAAGTTATCTAAGTAAATAATGTATTTTTTTTGTTTTTGTTTTTGTTTTTGTTTTTTTGAAGCAGGGTCTCCCTGTAGCCCCAGCTGTCCTGGAACTCACTATGTAGACCAGGGTGGCCTTGAACTGACAGAGATCTGCCTGTCTCTGCTTACAGGCATGTGCCACCATGCCCAGCATAAATAATGTATTTAAAAGAAAAAGCAACACTAGTATTTCCAAAATGTGAAAAATTTAAAGATGGCATATATTTTTGTTTTTTTCCCTGAGAATTCTGGTTATTCCTAATTTTAAAAATATTTATTATTTATACTTTTTAATTGTTTGCTCTTTTTTTTGAGACAGGGTCTCCCTGTAGCCCCAGGTGGCCTGGAACTTACTATGTAGATGAAGCTGGTCTTGAACTCACAGAGGTCCACCTGCCTCTGCCTCCTGAGTGCTGGGACTAAAGGCATGTGCCACCACACCTGACTTACTATTTTTATTCAATTGTATGAGTGTATTACCTGCATGTGTATAAGTGTACCCATGCTGTTCAGTGCCAGAGGAGGTCAGAAGAGGGCACTGGAGTTATGGATGGTTGTTAGCCACCATGTGGGTGAAAGGAATCGAACTAATTGATACCATTTGTTACTGTGTGCTTTTTTCAGTCCCATTATGCTTTTGATGGTGTTTTACTGTCTTTTTCTGCCACATAATTCAGGTGTCACATTTCTTTTCCTTTACCCTGCTTCTTAACATTCAGTAGGATTGAGGAATGATACCACAATGATTGGAATTAAATTTAAAATGAAAATAGATAGTTTTTGATCCAGGCCTTGAGAAATTTAGGTTTATAAGTCTTTTTTAAACACTGTAAAACTTCTCTGTCAATATACATTCCTGTTGTGACCCTTCTTTTAGTTATTCCTATACTTTTGGTTTCTGTTCTGGACAGGGATTCTAAATAATGGACGTGGCAGCATAAATGAATGACTGTGGAGATAAAATTATCCATTGCATTAACTTGAGACCAAATTTTGCATATAAAGATGCATATTGAACCGAGAAGATATGAACCATAGTTTTGCCTAGAGTAGGTAGGGGAAAGACATAGTATTTGGTCTAAGGTCTGTTTGATCTCTCCCACTTCATAAATTAATATGTGAGCCAATTTAATTGTTCACTGGCTTAATAGTAACAAGGTGCCAATTAAACAGCTGTTTGTACTTGCCACATTAGGTATGTTGTAATGTGTCATACCTAGAGTCATAGAGTAAATCCTTATCGTTCAGATATGTTAATTTTAGTCATAGGATGGATAATGACAAAGATCTTTCTTGAAAGATTACCTATCTTAGAATGGCTCTGAATAGCTATAAAGGAAAGGACAAATTTGTACAGAGGAGGGATGAAAAAAAATCCTCTGACTTAGACACACTCTGTGTAAGGACCAGGAAATAGGTATCAGACTTGAAAGACACAGTATTCTTGGTCTGCTAGAAAGATTTTCCAGGGACTGTTTTCCTGAAATAAAGTGCTTTTGTAGCACATCCGAAATACTTTTGACCACACTTTGTCAATAACAGTTGCAAAGATCATTACCTTCTAAAGGTGGAGAAGTAGGACAGCTATTACATGACTCATTTAGCAAGTCAACCAGATGAAAAGCAGTACGTTTGTGACCTAGTCTTTAATTTGGATGCCTTTCTACTTCTAACAAGATTATTTTGACATTCAGTGCTTAAACATTAAAATTTTTATTGCTTATTGAATGGATGCCTTGTACAGTGTAGAGGTACTCAATAAGTTTTTACTAATGACTTTGTTAATTCCTGGAGCTACTGATATTTTCAGGAATAGCTTTCTACTATAATTGTGTTATGAAGTCATATTTGTCTATACTGAAGTCATAGAATTTCATCCTTTTTGCTGGTCCAGTTTGGTGTCTTTTGCTCCCTCGTCTGTCACTGTCAGATGGGCAGAATCTGTTCCTTGACTGGCTTTAGTATTTCTCTTGTCACCATTAGTGCTGTCTTGGGTTTTCCTCCTTTTCTTTTCTTTTTCCTATCTATCTATCTATCTATCTATCTATCTATCTATCTATCTATCTATCTATCTATCTATCTATCTATCTATCTATCTATCTATCTATCATCTATCATCTATCTATCTATCAATCTATCATCTATCATCTATCTTTTTATAATAATAATAATAATAATAATAATTATTATTATTATTATTATTATTATTATCCTTTTTTGACAGGATCTCTGTAGCTCAAGCTCGCCTTGAATTTTCCGTGATCCTCCTGCCTCAGTCTCCTAAGCTCTGAGATTACCCATGTGAGCCATCAGGCTGGATGACTCCTTTCTAGTATAAGCCTTGTTTTAGAGTACTTAGGTGACTGTTCCCTATTTCATCTGGGTCACTATAAGTTTCCTATAACTGTTAAAGTATCTGGACAGGAAAATATCTGCATTAATTTGATTATACAAAATATTAGAAAGACTTACTTGTTTGTCCTTAGGCTACACATTCGTCAGATTTGAAATGTGGTCTGGACCTTGGTGACACATAACTTTAATTCCAGCGTTTGGGAGGCAGAGGCAGGTGGATCTCTGTTAGATTGAGGCAAGTCTGATTTACATAGTGGGTTCTAGGCCAGTTGTGGCTACAGGGAGACCCTGTCTCAGAAAGACCAAAGGGGTAAGAAATCAGCAAGAAAAGTAAAAAAAAAAAAAAAAAAAAAAAAAAAAAAAAAAAAAGTTAAAAGAAAGTTATTTTGCAGTGCTAGCTGTTGACTCACAAGATTGAATATTTTATTAGTAATCAATTGGTAAAGTCTTATTGAGAATTAATGTGTCTGGTTATGCTGAACAGTGGCTTAATTAAATAGTTTTATATAATCCCTGATATGAAGACGTTCATGAACTAGTTGATTTAATACATATTATGTACTCTGTATGCCATATGTTGTATATGATATGCTATTATGTGATAATACTGTGTGTATTATATAAACATTCATGATACTACACTGTGGTATTTTATATGATTATTATTTACTTCATTCCATCAGTTATATTTCCTTAATTCATTACTGAGTATATATCATCCATCTGTATGTCTATCTCTCTCATAATTGATTGCTGTGAGAGATACAAATAGAAAATGCATCTTTTTAAAACAAATATTTTATGGGCTGGAGAGCTGGCATAGCCGTTAACAGCTCAGGCTCACAAGCAAATAAATATTTCTATTTTATGTCTATGAGTGTATTGCCTGTTTGCATGTAAGTGCATCTGTGTTGTGAAGTGCCTACGGAGGTCAAGAGGAAATCTGGAACTGGAATTATAGTTACTGGCTGCCATGTGGGTGCTGGGAACTGAACCCAGCTCCTCTTCAAGAGCAGGCAGTGCTCTTAACCACTGAGCCATCTCTCCAACCTGAAAATGAATCTTGAAAATAATTTAGTTTTAGGAATTTCATACAGTGTATTTTTATCATTTAACTCCTCCTTCCATCTTCTCTCGGATCCACCCCCATCTCCTTATAGTCCCCCAACTTGGTGTCCTTTTTTCCTTTAAAGCTCATTGAGTCTATTTTGTGGTCCCCAAATGCTCTCAGATGTGAGTCCATCCCCTAGAATGTGGTCTGCTTTCCAGGTATCACACCCTTCAAGAAAACTGACTTTACTGTATTTTTATCATATTTAACTCCTCCTTCCATCTTCTCTCGGATACACCCCCATCTCCTTATAGTCCCCCAACTTGGTGTCCTTTTTTCCTTTAAAGCTCATTGAGTCTATTTTGTGGTCCCCAAATGCTCTCAGATGTGAGTCCATCCCCTAGAATGTGGTCTGCTTTCCAGGTATCACACCCTTCAAGAAAACTGACTTTACCTTTTCCAACAGCTGTCACTTAGTTGCCTTTAGCGCCTCACCTAGGGGTGGGGCTTCATGCCCACTTTCCCTGCTCTGTGTTGGAATTTTGTCTTGTTTGAGCTTGTGCAGGTCTTGTACATGCTGTCATAATCACTGAG